TTTTTTTTTTATTTATTAAAAAAGAAAGAGATAAAAATGGAAAATAAAAAGACAGTAATAGAAATTTGAGGAATATTATTAAAAAAAAAGAATAATTTTTACGATTACGACGACCGAAATGAAAACCAATGAAGGTTAGCTATTTCCTTGTTTTTGGCACAACTACAAGAATAATTTTTGTTAAATATAATTCCACATGTCACTATTAGAACCGCGTGTGCCCGAGAGAGTGCAAATGAGCGACTGCCCCTAACACTGCTCTTACAAAAATATTTATCTATTTTTGCTCTTTAATTCTAAAACCGAGAAAACAAAAACAAAAACAAAAATAAAAGTCATAATTTGGGGGCCACACAATAAAAAGATGAGAAAGACTTCGGATGATACGTAAATTAAAGTTGCTTGGAATTGTATATTTTTTTAGTTAAAATTTTGAGTTTGATGTAATGGTTTTGGTCGTGATTGGCATGTCATACCAATATTTAGTATTAATTGGTATCATGAAAAATCGCCTCTCTTATTAGAGTGAGGCCATGACTTGACCTTCTCTCTATCTCACAATCTGCAATGGATCCTTTTCTAGATTTTTGTTCTAGCGGAAAGGGACCCTTAGTGCACCACAATTTGTCCAGGTAACCTCTGCGTCATTGCTTATGTTTTCATTTTATGTGTGATAATTTTCAGATGTGTCATAACGAAAATTAAATGAGACTCATACCTGGTCCCAAATTAATCCCAGTCCAAGCACCACATTTCTTTCAAAATGTTGTTTTCGTCATTAATATACCGTTTGAAAAGAAAATGCAGCGATAATTAGAGAGAGAAATTTCTTATCCATGCCACCGAAATATGAGACGCACATAGCAGATTTTTTTTTCCCCATCGAAGTATAATACATGTGAAACATGCTAGATTGTTTCTACCTAACATTCTCTAACTCACTCACAAAGCACATCAAGACCAATATATAGTATTTAACTATTTATTACTATTACTGTTGTAATTTTCTAGTTCATTTCCTCTTTCCATGCCTCCAAAGTTGTATTCAGAATATTTGTAGACTGTAAAGGCTGTCTGTTCCAGTTAATAATTCGCTTACACCTCTCCAACCTTCGATTTGGGCTCAACTTAACAGTCTCCTTTTTTTCAGAAAAAAAACATCAAGAGCGGCCCAACATACTAGAGGTGGACTTTAGGTTGGACCAAGAAAATGACATCTAAGGCCTCAGGCCCATGCATAGAGTAGCCTTCTTTGCAGCATTCAATCATCATGAAGATAAAATGGAGGACCAAATTTAATGACCATTATATTTAGAACTTCGACTATCCTAGGCCATAGCGTATCCGGTCTTCATGGTTTCGGCGGATTACTGACTTCTGAGCACAATTGAAATTCGGCCTTCCGCATTGGTCCTAGATTCTACTGCTATTTATAATCTAATCTTTCAAACTATTCTTTAATATTGCTCCTAGTAATTGATCTGTCTTAATTTAAGAAACTGTTAGATATAGCGATATAAAACTAACGGTTAGAGGTTAGAAATTAACAATCGCCCTGAATACAATGGCGTTAACAACAAGACCAAGGATAAGGTCAGCCACCATCTAATTAGCTACAACACCTAGGAAAAAAGACAATTACTCTGGAATTAAGGGCTATAACTAAAAGTGTGTTGTGGTGAATGTATCTGGTGGATCAACACGTCTGTTATATAAACCCAAAAACCTTAACACCTTTAGAAAAATATTTTTATTTTGTTATTTAATTTACTTTTATTCTTTATTTTTTAATATATATATTTTTCATTCTTTGTTATAATTATTTAATTGAATTTAGTTTTTTAATATAATGTAAATTTAAGTTCTTAATATGTAACTAAATTTTAGTTTT